GAGGGGAGGGGGGGTGGGAGAAGGGAAAGAACAGGGGGAACAGGTGGGAAAGAGGGGGATAGGGGGAAGCGAGTGAGGGGGGACAAGGGTAGGGGGACGGGTGTAGGAAAGGGCTGTTGTGTGAGGATGGTGACCGTGAAGTATGAGGCACGAGAGAGGAGTAGTTGGGTGGATTAAGTGGGAGCGTGGCCTGGCCACACAGGAAAGAGGGGAGAAGGGGTAATGGGCGAAAGGAAGGAGGATCCGTACTGCTGGCTTTGCCGCGGATGAGCGGCGTACGGGAAGTGCTCGGGAGGAATGCTCACTGCAAAGGGCATAGAAGAAAGGGATGGGAGAGGTGGGGTTAGGGGGGAGGAGGGGGGAAAGAAAGATTGGCAATGCATAAGCACACTTTTGAGTGTTGGATTCGAGGCGCCGAGAGGGGGTTGGGATGCGGGTTGAAGAGGGGAGGGGAGGGGGGGGGAAGTATGTGCGGGTTTTGCGAGCGGAGGACTCGACGCAGGGAGAACCGGTTGAATGAATACATGAATGGGTGCGTGACGTAGATCCTTTGGCAATCGCCTAGGCCACGTAAGGGAGAGGGAGAAGGTGATGGCTTGAAATGAAGAAAGCAAGAAAAAAGTACAAGCAAGAGAGAAAATAAATAGCAACGCGCACCAGACTGACCGGTGCGATCATGCGTTTTGTGCAATTCAGCCCATCGAACGATTGTCTATTAATAATTTTCACTGCTTTGTACTTTTGTCTATGCAAAAATAGTTTAAAAATTGGAAAATAGTTAAAAATTTCACGCACCAGCGCAAGAAAGCTGAATTCGAAACCTTGAAGGGTGAATATCTTTCCGTGATTCCCTAGTTAATAGTTTAGCCGCCAAAATTCTCACGAGGTCGTAGGTGATACTCAACAGCGAGGAAACGCTGAATTTGTATAGGCAAGGTTGAGCGTGGGCAGGGAGTTATTACCCTAAAATTTCAGCTTCCTAGACCCCGTGGTTCCCGAGATAATAACTTACCTGTAAAAAACTTCAATAGCCCGTAGGTGATACCCGAGAGCGCGGGAACGCTGAATTTGAATGGGCAAGGTTGAGCGCGGGCAGGGGATCATTACCCTAAAATTTCAGCCTCCTAGACTCCGTGGTTCCTGAGATATTGACTTACCCGTAAAAAACTTTCACGGGGCCGTACGAGTTACCCGCGAGTACGGGAAGGCTGAATTTAAATTTGCCGCGTCGCCCGCTGGGGGGGAACACTATACCAAAATTTCAGCTGCCTAGCTTTTGTGGTTCCCTAGTTGAAAGTGCGGAACAAAATGTGAGACACACACACACACACACACACACACAAACACACACACAGACAACCCCGTGACAATATGCGTTTTTTAACGCTGTTACACAATAAAAAACGCATAATAAAAACAAGAAAAGCAAACGAAAACTCTCCACCATCCTAGCTGATGCTTAGGTGAAGAAAGCTAAAGGCGAATAAAGCGAAGTTGATGCTTAGGTAAAGCTGAGAGCTCATCAGCAACTTTATGCCTCAGTTCTACCTAAACATCAGCTTCACAAATACGGAAGATTTACCTAAGCATCAGCAGCTGCACGATGTTGCTTTCTTTTTGTTGCATGATGTTGCTTTCTTCCTTTCCAGCCATTACCTTCTCGCCTCTCCCTTATGTGGCTAGGCAACAGCCAAAGGATCCACGTCACGTAGCTATTCAATGTACTTGCTCAACTCGCTCCCCTGCCTCGAATCCTGCGCGCGAAATCCGCGCACATCATCCCTCCCCCTCATCCCCATCA